CTGAGAGGAAGGGGGGGGGGAGCAGGAGGAGAAGGAGGAGGAGGAGGAGGACCAGTGCAAACGCAAGTCGAATCAAAGATCTTGCAAGTAACCCTCGCTCCAAGCTCCCTCTTCATAGGTCCCGAAAAGAATTTACCTTCATTGCGGGAAGCGGCCCATTAGAAGACAACCGTCCGAGAACACCCAATCGTTGCAAGAAGCCGTGCCTGGGAAGCCAGCGCCGCAGATCAGCGTGACCGTTACGTCCTGACATATTTCCTGCACCGCGCCTGGAACACCACTCCCGGGACGACGCCACTGCGAAACACCGTGCCGATGCACAATGCATGCGGCGCCGACCGCCGAAGTTTCGAAGCTGTTGCCAACCTGCCAGGCGAAGGCGTCCGGCGCTGAAGAGAGAGAGAGAGAGAGCCACACGTTGAGGAGGGGCCGCCCTTCATCCCTGAAGCTGCGGCAGGCTGCTGCAGCGAACTGGCCATCGCTCGGGCGTCCATTTCCTGTGTCTGTTTCGGTTTCGCGCGTGTTTTTTTTTTTTTTTTCGCGAAATGGTCAAGGATGTTCCTCGATGGTCCTCGCCGAAGGACAAGTGCACGCGTCCGAGCGATGCCAAGCGAATGTGCGCGGCGCTGAGGCGAGAGCCACAGCTTGAAGCATGAGCCGCGGTCCGTCCTTGAAGCTGCTGCAAGCTTTTGAGACAGGCGTGCGCGGCGCTACTGCGAGAACCACATTGCAAAACCATCCGCCCTCCATCCGTGAAGCCGTTGCAGAATGCAAGCTTCAGGGTCATCATGGGCGACGGAAGCTCAAGCGAGACGCTCGGCCCGCCCTGCCGACACGTCGTGGGATGTCGTTGGGTGCGACATGGATGAATCACTCATAAGGAAAAGGGACCGAAGTGGAGGGGTGCAGGGGGAGAAGTTGGAGGAGGAAAGGGAGGAGGAGGCTGCTAACGAGGAAGGGGAGCAGGAGAAGGGCACTCACACCCTTGGCGACAGAACGCCCTAACCAGCTTCTTATATGCCACCGTGCTTCGGGGCACGAAGTGGTGTCCCCCCAGGCTTTCAGAGTTCTCTGCACTGTTCTTTCGCTACTGGCATATTCTAATCCGGGGCAGGAGGCCCAACGAGTCGATTCTTCATGGCGTTCCCGCGCTTCCTCTGGCTTCGCCGCAAGACTTTTCCAGACGCTAGAGGGCGGGGGGGCCCAAGACGGGCCAAGAGGGCCACAAGAAGCGGCCGGAAGGGCGCAGGAGGCCCCCAGGACGGCTCGACAACGCTCCAAAATGGCCCGACAGTCTCCGAGATGACCCACAGGCGGCCTAAGAGGTCCCAAGACGCCCCAAGGGGGCTCCAAGAGGTCTCCCAAGAGGGCCCCGAGATGCCACAACCACTGACGTTCCGCAGGTTTTTGCCAGGCTTCCAGGTTCTCGCCTTTTTCCTGTTTCCGACGCTCCAAGACTTCCCGAAAAGGCCCCCAATATCGCCCTTGGGCGGCCCAAAATGGCAACAGGACGGCCGTAGAGGCTCCCCCCAAGATGGCCCAATAGAGCTTCAAGAGGGGCCCAAGAGAGGCCCCGGAGGGGGAACGCGAACCGACATTTCGAGCCCTCCGCCCCAAGATTGCCCCCGAAGCCGCCAGCAGGCCCCCATTAGGCCCCGCACAACCCCAAGGTACCCCCAAGAGACCCCCGAGAGGGCCCCCAACGCACCCGAATATCGAATCCGAGAGGCCTCCGGGAGGCCTCCCAAGAGATCCCCCAGAGGATCCCAGAGGCCTCTGACCTACAATCCATGCGCGGTGGCGGGATGGGCCGACGGCACCTAGATACTAGTCAAGAGGGTCCGACTTCCTGTGCGATACCACGCTGGTGCCCCACAGGTGACCTGACTGCACCGTGCCGCACCGTGCTGCACTTCGGGAGACCATGCGCGGCAGACCACGCACGGGGCCAGAGACTGCGAGCCACGACCAAAGACAACGAGCCACCGACCACCGAGGCTGCACCGCCCAAGCCGCCCGCTGGCCTCAGAGGCCAGGTGTCCGCCGCAGGGCCCCGCGGAGCGAAGCGGAGCGCCCCCCGGGCCGCGGAGGGTGCGAGAGAGGTGGGCGTGCTGGGCCGCAGCCCGTGGCCTTGCCTCTGTCGGTGTGCCACTGGCACGTGGCCCGTGTGCACGGTTTCCCCCGGGGCCGTAGGCGACCCGAGGAGGAGGAGGAGGAGGAGGAGGGAGGAGGAGGAGGAGGAGGAGGAGGAGGAGGAGGAGGAGGAGGAGGAGGAGGAGGAGAGGAGGGAGGAGGAGGAGGAGAAGGAGGAGGGGAGGGGAGGAGGAGGAGGAGGAGGAGGAGGAGGAGGGAGGAGGAGGAGGAGGAGGGAGGAGGAGGAGGAGGGAGGAGGAGGAGGAGGAGGAGGAGGAGGAGGAGCAGGAGGAGGGGTCGCCTAAGCCCTTCGGAGAAACCCTCCAGGCCCGTGATGTGGTTGGTGCGAAGACCGGCGGCGGCGGCCGCCGGCGAGGCGTCAGGCCCGGGCGTCGGGCCAGCCGTCTGCCGCAGAGGTGGCCGCGCGGGGCGGCAGAGGCGGGAGCCTTCGGGTCCCCTGGCTTCTCTGCATCCCCAGAGATCCAACGTATTGAAAAAATCAAAACAGAGGTTTTTCCCAAATTTCGGCCCCCAGGGGCCCTCGCCTGGCCCCGGGACCGTCAAAAAACGACTCAGGATGAAAAACCGGTCCTGGGGAATGGGTCGAAACTTCCAGGGACCACGTATTGAAAAAATCACGACATCGGATCTCTGGGTCTGTGTGCAGGCACGCTCTTCAAGGGCTCGCACTTCCGATTCAGGGGCCTGGCGCAGGTCCCAGAGTGCCCCCGAAGGACCTCTCCGGACGCAGGTGGGCCCAGAAACAAGCGTAGAGGGCCCCAGGAGGGCCCCAAGGCGGCACAAGAACGCCTCGAGTCGCCCACAGATCGCTCCAATACGCCCAAGACGGCCTCAAAGCGGCCCTAGAAGCTCCCAAGACGCCCGAAGAGAGCCCCGGCAAGCCCCCCAAGAGGGCTCCGAGATCCCCAAATCATAAATCCTCTAATTTTGTGTTGAATGATTTTCGCGTTTTCACCTGTTCGGGCCTCCGTCGCTCCAAGCGGTCCCTGGGACAGCCCCACGACGGCCCATGAGGACCCCAAGACTGCCCGAGAGGGCCCCAGGACGGCCCACGAGGCGCGCAAGACGGCCCCTAAGGGCCCCAAGAGGGGGACCTCGAGCTGAAACTTCGGGCCATCCGCCCCAAACTGACGCCCGAGACGGCCAGCAGGGCTCTCAGAAGATCCACCCCGATGATAACCACCCCGACCCGGGAGGCCTTTAGCAAACGCGCCCCCCAAAAAAGACTCGTGCCTCCCTTTGAAATCTGTGGTCAGCGGTCGATGGGGTCACGGCACCCCGCCCCCCAGGTGGGATGGGCCCCCTGGCCCCACAGCCCCGCCCCCCAGATGGGATGGGGAGAAACGACGACGACGACGACGACGACGACGCAGCACCACCCCACACCCACAGGGGGAGGGGGGGGGACAGGCCCCCCCCCCCCTCCCAACGCCCACAGGACGGGGGGGTCCACCGCGCCACGCCATATGTTTAGGGGATACACGTCGTTCATTTCGAATCGTGCTCATTTCAAATTCTGCTCGTTTCTAATCGTTCCTGGCCCCCGAGTTGCCAGGAAGAGGCCCAGGATAGAATAATTAGAAATGAAAGGATCATGGCCCCCAAAGAAGCCAAGAACTTCCGAATACTTAAAAAACAACGTGTATGTGGGAGAGCAATGATCATGTCAGTAAGACTTGCTCTGTAGGCAAGCTTCGAGACGTTCACCCACATTTGGGTAAACCGCAGAGCAACTGCTGTCCTGCATCTCCCGGAAGCATGACACGAACGAACTATGACGTTGACCAGCGGGAGGGCGGGGTGATGAGAAGAAGGACGAAGAAGAAGGGGGTGAGGAGGATGAGGAGGAATGGCGATGACAAGTTAAGGGACTGATGGGAGAGCAAAGGGGGACAAGGAGGAGAGGGGAGATCAGGTCGAGAAGGAGAAATGAGTGGATAATTCCAGAGAAAGCCCAACACGCTGAATTAGCCCAATCGATCTGCATATACATCGCCAAACAACGACGCAGAACAATGCAGAGCAATGCATGCAGCGCAAACCAACGCAAAGCAAACACATGTAAACCAATGCAGTGCAAAGCAATGCAGCGCGCAATGCACCACAACGTAACGCAAAACAGCCCATGATGCAACACGTGCGTGCAGCTGAAGGCCACGACACATCCTTGGAACCCTCAAACGCGCAACCGATTGCGCAACCTATGACGCCCAGCAGTTTCTCGGCGAGCACGCGACGCATTGCACACCCCGTGGGCGCAGCCTATGTTCAATACGAGGGCACCCCAAACCTCCTTGGTGAGCCCGCGACCTGTTGCGCAATCCATGGGCGCACCTGTGGCATCCAAGAACTCCAGGGCGAGCGCACAACCTACCGCGAAGCCCATGGGCGCAACCCATGACACTCCAAAAATCTCCTGGGCGAGCATTCCCTAACTCTTGAAACTACTGTATACCGAAGACTTAGACTCAAACACTGTTCAGGGGAAATAGCTGGGTCAGATGGGAAGGATGATGAGAGTGAGGTGCGCTTGGAGGAGGACGACTGAATTGAGAGGAATGCCCTCATCCGCCGACCTTCGCTTGCCAGGGGTGACCCGCGTGTGCGATGTTCGGCTGTCCCCCTCCATGGGGGTCCAGAATTCCGTTAGAGGGGGGGGGGGCGGGTGGGGGCGAGCTCCCAAGTGCACCTTTGGGCCCTCGGAGCCTTCAAATGCACCATGCGTGGCTTCCTAGATGCCGCCGATGCTTTCCAAAATGGTGCTCAAGAAGGGCTCGGGAGAGGCCCCAAGAGCACCCAGGAGCGCCTCAAGACTGTCCAGGAGGCCCCAACGATGCCCCAAGACG